ATTTTTTTTGTTAAGAACTTTCTGTTCATATGCTTTGACCGTTTTTCCATTGGTGAATGGCTCTTATTATTTTAGCAGTTCTCTATGTATTTTAGATATCAGTCCATATCCACAGTTATTGAAGAAAGATTGATTTCTATTTGAAGATATATTCCAATGACAGCAAGGAAATGGGTAGACCAGTTGATGCTGGAACTCAGATTTGAAGATTGATGTTTTTCCCTTGTCTAATTTCTTTATGACTGAGGAACCTAAGGAAAGACTGACTTAATAACTAGTTTCATTCTCATTTCAGGATACTAACCTACCAAGACTTAAGTCTAGAACCAGATTTCAATTTCCTCTAACCTCTGACAACATCACACATACTATCAGAGTTCTATAAAGAAACCCTGTACTTCTGAATACAAACATACAGGCTATATCTGCTCTAGCCAGTAACAAGGCACAAGTGAGCAACAACCATTTAATGCTTACTATATGCCAGGCTCTGTGTTGTAGACACTGAATCACCGTGATGTGTCTAGCAACACACTGCAGTCAGCATTTCTCCATGGGCCAGGTACAGAAAAGGTGTATTTGCAATCAATGTTCCCCAAAGTTACACACAGACACATGCGCGCACACACACACACACACACACACACACACACACACACACACACATACACACACCCCATATTAAAGAAGAGTTGGTGTAAACAAGAATCAGACAGAAGTAGGATTCCATTGCTGGATTTTATAGGTAATGGCTGTTTGTGCTGCTGCATGGTAGCAAGCAATAGCTAGGAAGGCAGTATGGGAGATCCTATTGCAAAATATTGATGTTAACATACATACAAAGAGTCCTCCAACTCACAAATAATAAGAAAAAGGCAAATCAAAATAATTCTTATGTTTCATATAACATAACAAATTAGCAAAGACTATAAATGATAATTAATGTTGTAGTGATCATAGAAAGAAAGGCGTGCTAATATATTTGAAGGTCTTTCTCTTGGTTGCTTGCAGAATCTGTTGTTTCTGAATGAAATTGTTAAATTTAACCATTGTGTGTCTTGGAGTATGCAGCACAAGATTTTTATTTGGAGGTGATCTGTGGATTCTTTTAGCTGGCACTTCATTTTCTGCGTTCACAAGTTCTGGGCAGCTTTCTTGTATTATTTCTTGCATTATGGTGTCCAGGTGCTTTGACTTACCATGTTCTTCTGAAAGACCAAGATCTCTAGGTCGTTTCTATACATCCTGTCATGGAGATCAGTATATTTTGCTCATACAGAGATCAAACTTTCTTTCAGTGTTATTGCTTTTTGTTTCTTTTTTTTTTCCAGATTGTCTCTCACTTCCATGTATTTGCATTCCTCGTTATTTTCTTTTGTTTTTTCGGTGAGGCTGGTCACTACTGGTTCAAGATTTTCTATTGTCACTAATTTCTGCTGTTCAGTCTATAAATTCTGCTTTCACAGTTCCCATTTCTCTTTGAAACCACTCAGGACCATCTTGCTGGATCCATGCTGTCTTGGGAATCCACAGGGTCTTCTGCCTTAGCAGGTGTTGATTGATTTTCCTTAGGTGGCTAGGTGACACAGTGGGTAGAGTGTTGGACATAGAGTCAGGAGAACCTGAATTTCAATCCTGCCTCAGAAACTTATTAGCTGAGTGACTCTGGGAAAGTCACTTAACTGTCTAAGTCTATTTCTTCAACTGTAAAATGAAGATAATAATAGCATCTACCTATGAGGATCAAAGGAAATAATATTTGTAAAGTGCTTAGCACAGTGCCTAGCACATAGCAGGAGCAACATAAATACTTATTCCCTTCCCCCTACTCAGAATGCACTGTATTAGATGAAATAGGGAATTTTGTTTTTGGTCTGGACCTATGATTCCCCTGGTCTAAGGATCTAAGAGTAGCTGCCCCTCTCGTATAACTCTCCTAACTCATACAAACCCTTGCAGGATGAATTCCCCAAAGGCTGACTACTGCTCCCCTCAGGGTTTGAAGTATAACCCCGCACAGCTGAGGTTTCTGCAAGGGAGGTATTTTGTAAACTGTAGAGTGCTGTGTAATTCAATAAATCAGGGAATATTTATTAAATACCTACTATGTATCAGGCACTATTCTAATTGTGAGCCATTACTACTTCTACAAACAGGACATAATGAGCATAAAATGCTTCATCTTTTATCCAAAGGTATCTCTTCTTCTCTAACTTTCATTCATTCATTCCTGTAACACATGTAACAGGGAACTGGCCCATGACCATGCCCATTAAGTTCAGCATGATAAAACTCCCTACAAAACTTTGTAGCACATACAGATATCCTATATCTGTTTCCTATCACTTAACTCATAGTGAAAAAAAAAAAAGGTCAGAACGGAAGAACATTACCCAGCAAAAGCACTCCTTTATGTCCTGGTGGCAGGCAATACTGTATGTAACTACTGTAAGCCTCCAGGTGGAGAGAAGCAGCAGCAATGGTGGTAGCAGCCCCCGACTGCCAACTACCTAACTCCTCACACAGGCTGTCATGTGTCAATGAACACGGCCCCGTTTCTTTGTCTCTTTGTATTTGTCCTCTCCTGGTCTTAGGTGAAGTTGATTTGGTTATAATTGTGAGCTTAGAAAAATATGAAGTCCATGGCAGAGTTTTCCAATAGTTGACCCTGCTGAGGAGCCAGGGTCACGATTAAAGAGCAAGCCACCAAAGGTCTGAGAACTAATGTCCATTCTAGAGCTTCCCAGAAGTCTATACTGATTGAAGCCAAGAAGGAAAGACTTGTCCATTGGCCATTCAGAAGTGATCTTGGTGGGGCAAGTGCTATGTAACAAACACATTCAGTTTAAGTCCACTGCTCCAGGGACTGAGGCAATAAAAATAAGAATGTGCCCCCAGTTCAGAATGGGTGTATGTGTATACTTCTTTCTATATCTTCTCAGTAACTGAAGCATTGCAAAAGCTAATTGATGTTAATTGGTTAAATGATACTGTGGTGATAATTGCAGATACAAAGGAGTCAACTATATATGGGAGATAATTGTAACTGGTGATTAATTGGGGGGGGGGAAATGTCTGGAGTCAATAGCTTCAGAGATACAACCCAACCCCTCAGAGAAATCCCTAAAGTCCTGTGGAAGAGGATTTTATCTGGGAATTTAACAGCGAGAATATGAGTTGGGATGAAGACCCCCATACCTTATGTAGGCCACAAATACATTTATTAAGTATTTATTGTTTACAAAGAACTGGGAACAAAAAAGAAAAATATAATTTCATATAGTTAAGATAGGTAAATCTAATAGGATATCCCAGGACGGGTCTCAAAGGGTTGTGGCATATTAGAAGACTCATTACAACCTGTATTGCTATTAATTAAAATACAGATTCTTCATAGAAGTACAGTGTGATACTTAGCTTTGCAGATTTAGAAATGGATTTTTATCAGTTTAACCAGGGGCAATCAGTCTCTAAGGAATTGATTCCCACCAACTAGACTCACAAAAAAAAGTTGGTATAAAAACCAGAATGTTGATTTTTTTTTTATTTGTAATGGGAGTTAAAACTTTCCAACTTCTGAAATGCTCATGTCTCCTATCATAAGTACTATATCATGGTACCCTGGAAAAATCAAATGGGTACTATGGCAGCTATTTGGTGAGCAAAGGGAATTGAATGACCTTGAGGAGTATTTCACCTAGGCCACCGTAGAATCCAATGAAATATCAGTATTTCAATTAATAGCAATTGTTCATGATATGCAGATGTGAGGTCAATGAGTTATTTACAAGCCTTTGGACTTACTCACTTTTGATTCTGAAACATATTTAACAATTATTCTTACCCATCTTGTTTCAGTCTTTACAGTAAAGTAATATTCCAGTAATACTTTACAATAAAGTAATAAAGTAATATTTCAGTAAAGAAATATAATAAAAATAAAATACAATAAAGTAATAATTTATGAGAATGTCAAGTCTTTTGCAGAACTTTTCTACTAATCCATTCTATTTAACAGATATCAGCACACAACTGAATATCTTAATTACTTTCCATATGCTTATGTCCACTATAGGAACTCTAAAGTGAGATGACCAAATATTCCATGGGATTATCTTTCTTATCAATTTTCTGTTTCACTACTCATTGCCTCATTTCCAGAGGTTTTTTTCCTCTTTTGTTGACTCCAACCCTAACTTTGCACTTGCAGCAGATGGTCTTGCTGTCTACTTCATGGAAAATAATGAGATTAATGATTATTAATGCTGTCTCCAAAGAATTGAAACTAAGGGTGACAGAAAGGCCAAAGGAAACGTACGTGGCGCATATCAGCAGGTTGCAACACATTACACAAAAAGGAAGTCTGAGGGACGTGTCATCAAAAAATGCATGAGCAAAAGAGATAAACTGGCATCAATTAGATAATGGACAAACATATTATGCTATATTAAAGAAAAGTAATATTATTGGGCTGTAAGTATGTCAAAAGAGATGGTTTCAGAGGATCCTGGGAAGACTTATGAGAAGTAATGCCAAGTGACGTGAACAGAACCAGGAGCACAATTTAATCACCTTGTAATGAAAATATCCTCAAAAGACAAGAACTTTGATCACTGCAATGACCAACCGTAATTCCAGAGGACTGATGATAAAACAGGTTACCCACTTCTTGGTGGAAAAGTGATAGTCTCAAAGTGTAGGAAAAGGTACCCGTATTTTAACACAGACACTGTGAAAATTTGTTTTTCTTGACTATGCTTATTTCTGATAGAGATTTTATTTTTCTTTTCTTCTTTCCAAATTTGGAGAGGAGGAGTGTGTGGGTGTGTAAGTATGGGTGTGGGGGGATGTGTGTTGGGGGATGTGTGTGGTGTGGGGGGGAAGGGGGGAGAGGGAGAGGGAGAGAGACAGAGAGACAGAGTTATAGATAAGGTTGCCAAACTTAAAAAAGAAAAGAAGGTCATTGAAATTTTTTTCAAGTACACAGAAGACAACAAAAGGAAGGACAAAAGGAATCCCAGACAATCAGGACAGCTTTGAAAGTTACATGTTGAATTTATCACATACTTATGAAGAAAAGTAAGCTATACATAAGTCACAGTTTCATGTACAATCCTCCATTTCTGTTGTACTGTGTGTGCAGAGATGTTCATTTAATTTGGCGTTTTGAGATTGGAACAGTCTTTTAAAAAACAACAATAGGCTAGACATATGATGAGAACAAGAGATTACTGGGTCTGAGTAGTACATTGGTATGCTCGAATGAGTTATTCTTATGAATGCTATGCAAAACTCTCAATTTTCTTCTCTGTATAATCCGGGGTTCAAGCCTAGACAGTTGGAGAATGTTTTTCTTCTTTGGAGTTGGTGAAAGCTTGGGAGAGGAGAGATGTTCCTTCTTCTGGCTCGGGCTTCAAGAGACAACCCCATTATATGTGGTTCTAGGCTCTCTTTAGGGAGAGGTTCCTGGAGGGAGAGAAAGAAAATTTTGGAAAGAAGCTAACATGTAGTAGAGATGGCACCTCAAGCATGCCCCTGACTTCCACCTTGTCACATTAGAGACTGAAGGGATTTCCCTTTGGGTGAAATTAAGAACAATTATTATTATTATTATTATTATTATAGCTAACATCTATATAGCACTTAATATGTGCCAGGCAGTATGTTAAACTTTATAATATTATTCATAATTATAATTTCTTTATAATTATTCCAAATTATAATTATTGTTTATATCTTATAATTTTATAAATTTATAATTTTTATTATACAATTTATAATTTTATAATTATTATTTCATTTGATCCTTACAACAACCTTGGGAGGTAGGTTCTATTATCTCAATTTTTTTTATAGATGAGGAAATTGAGGCAAACAAGTTACTTGCCCAGGGTTACACAAATAGTAGTCTGAGGTCACATTTGAACTCAGGCCTTCCTATTGAAGGTCAGATAAGGCATCCTATCCACTGCTTCAACTAGTTGCTTTGGTATTAGGGACTTTGTTTATCACTCATTCTGGATATTGTCTGATATTTTGTAATATGTCTATCTTCTCTGATTTCTGTTTACTATCCGCTTAGTTAAATGGATTTATTCACTATTCACTTTTTGTAATGGTCTCTTGTGTCAATGGTGTTTGGTGGAAAGTCAAGCTTTTGGATGTAACTTGGAGCACCCCTTCATTATTTGTTTAGTCATTTTTCAGTTGTGTCTAACTCTTTATTACCCTTTTAGGGGTTTTCTTGGCAAAGATACTGGAGTGGTTTGCCATTTTCTTCTCCAACTCATTTTACAGATGAGGAAACTGAGGCAAACAGGGTTAAGTGACTTGCCCAGGGTCACACAGTTACTAAGTGTCTGGGGCCAGATTTGAACTGAGGGAGATGAGTCTTCCTGACTACAGGCCTGGTACTGTATCTACTGTGCTGCCTAGCTGCTCTTTCTTTTATCATTAAGGGATAGTAACTAGGAAATATGGTGAACCGAAAAAAAAATAATAATTTCCCTAGCAATATTTAGGGGAGTGGATAGATATAATTCTAGCCTAGTAGTCTCTTACTGAGGAGAGCAGAGTGGTTAGCCTTGTGGCCTCAATGGCCTGCTCTTTTCTTGGAGAAAGCCCTGGGAGAGGGGTGAGTGAGATTCCAGGGATATAGATTTATGTCTCCCTTAGAGCTCAATTTAGGTAAACTCATGTGGACATAACTTAGATGGGCAATACACACACCTTACATCTATGTCCAGTCAGTTAAGCTTTGTAAATACTTCTGAATCTCCTCACAGGCCTTCAAATAAAGGTCAGAAAAGTTGCCAGTATTCTTTATTTGCCCTTAATACTGCACATTACAAATGGATTTCATGCAGCAGAAAAGCCAGTCAAGTAGTCACTGCTCCAGGGATAAGCAGAAAATATAGGTTCCACCATCTCTCTAAAATGAAAACCTTTTTGTTTGTCATTCCTAAATTTTTTAAAATTACTTCAGTCAGTTTTTGCCACCATTTCACTGCCTGATTCACTACTGCTACAACGTATTGAATGATTCCCAATTAGACTGAAAAAGTTACTGTGCTCCCCAAGCACCTAATATCAGCATGCAATGACTTAGGCACTAAGGAGAATATGACTCCTTTTTTTAAATTTTCCACTATTCCCAACATTAACTGTAAGTCCAACTGTGTAGCATTACCTAGGGCAAAAAGTTGTAAAATTGACCGTTGGTTCTAAAGATAGTTTTAATACATTGTAAAACTATTTTTTAAGAGTAGCAAGTGCTCTATCAATCAACAAGCATAATCTAATTATTTTGCTTTGTCCTTGTTAATTAACATGTTACCGTATTAGCAATAGTAGTAGTAGTAGCTTTGTAAACATACTCCATTACAATTTATTATACCAGACTTCCTGCCAAGATGTCTGCTCCACATTCATAAAACATGAAATTACCGTATGTGGTTCAGCCATTCCCCAGTATAAGTGCATATCTTTTGTTTCCGGCTTTTTTATTTTAAGTAATGCTGTTATGAACATTTTTGTACCTATGGGTCTTCTTGCTGGCAGTAAGCATAAATACAAATTGTTTCCCAAAACAATTGAACCAGTTCTTATCACTACCAGCAGTGAATTATCATGGAACATTCAAATTTTTGAGGTGGATTTTCTACAGGACTTTTATCTTTATATTCATACAGCTGACTGAGAGATGCTGAGAATATAACATCACACTCTATTATTTGTTGATTTATTTTTTTAAGCGTTTAACGCAGTAGAATAAAATGCCACTTTAAAGGCTCTCTTCAAGCAAAATGAGTTCTATGTGTACGTTTAAATAATACAAGACTTTCTGGTAGAGACAACTACAATTTTATTTTTAAGAAAACACCGAGAACTAACATCAAATGAGGCATAAAATACTGAGGAACGTTTCATTTTATGTGATCAGCAGCCTGACACAGTCTCACCTACTGATACCAAGGACCTCCAAATGCTCCTAAGCCCAGATGACAATATTTTTTCACCAATCCCAAGGCACTACAAAGCTTCTTCAGTAAAATGCATAATTATTTGAAAGAAATTTGTTTAGACATCTATGTTAGAAAAACGAAATGGATGAAAAACACATATTGCACAGACTATGACATGCTAATGATCTGACAGTATACTGAGGTAGCGTGTCTGTCTCCTTGTCTATTAGACAGAGGATTTGTCTAGAGAAAGAATGTACTGGGTTCAAGTCTTGCCTCTGTCAAATTCCGGGCCAATCACTGAACTTTCCAGTGCACTTAGGCAACTCTCTAACAACAACAACTCTCTCTCTCTCTTTTTCAATATATACATGTACACACACACATATACATACAAATTTCCTCAAATATATGTATATACATATACATATATATATACATATATACATATACAGACATACATATATACACATTATGTGTGTATACATATGTGTGCCCACATGCACAGTGTGGCAGCTAGGTGGCACAATGGGTAGAGTACCAGGCCTGGAGTCAGGAAGACTCATCTTCCTCAGTTCAAATCTGGACTCAGATACTTACTAGCTGTGTGACCCTGGGGAAGTCACTTAACTCTTTTTGCCTCAGTTTCCTCATCTATAAAATGAGCTGGAGAAGGAAATGGTAAACCACTCCAGCATCTCTATCAAGAAAACCCCAAATGGGGTCATGAAGAGTCCAACACAACTGAACAATAATATATATATATGCAGACTTAAAAAAAAAAGACCTGTGATATCATTGGTATAGAGAGTTCCAGCGTGAAACTCCTCCTACCACTGTAGAAGAGCATCTCCTTAGAGAGTTGCTTAGAGCATTGATAAATTAAGTGACAGATGGATGGCTTTCTGAAGGAGTCTTACAAGCTCCTCAACTGAAAATTTACCACATGGCTCTGGAGCTGGAAAACTAGCAAGGAACCATAACATGCCAAGCCATAATATGGAAGAGCAAATCTGATGGAGAAAGGAGTTTGCCTTTCCCACAGCCCTAAATTTATTCTGTTCTAGGGAAAGCCCAAGGTATAGGATGAAAGTGAGACTAACAAGAAATAGGAAGCGTATTGAATGGGATATTTATGGGCTATCATGAGTCTTTGTGTTTCCTGGATTCTGTCTATGGGGTAAAATTGTCTTCCTTGTAACTAATATGCCTTGTTACCTCAAGCACTGGGAAGGAGAACCCAAGACATTTTTTACCCACTTTAGCGGAGACTTAGACATAGCCTATATTGTAAGATTTCCCAGAGGAAACTCTGGGTGGCAGAAAGCCAAAGACAAACAATTTGTGGAGAAACCACCTTAGAGCAGTGTTGGTCCACACAAGCCTAGAACCTTGGAGTACTTAGCTATGGGTTACACCAACTTGCATGAGATTTGGTTGGGGAAAAGAGACTAGATAAAGAAGAGATTCGACAGAGTGGATAACTCTGATTCTAGGCTATGGAGAGAAAGCAGAATTACTCGACTATTATCTTGTTTCTGTTTTCTCTGACAAGGAGAATAACCTGTAGGAATGGAAAATATAGAACCACTCCAGTAGTTCAACACTAGGAAACTGAAATTCGAGACAAGTGAATGAGAGGGGAGATAGGAAGATAGCACTTAGTTGACCTCGTTGAGTTCAAATCACCAATCCCTGCTGAACTACGTCCCCCTCTACTGAAATCAATCAAGCAACCAGTAAATAAGTACCTTCCGTGTGCCAGACACTGTGCTGAACACTGGGGTTACAAGTATAACTCTCAAGTAGCTTACATTCTAACGAACTAGAAAAACAACAACAACAACTCATAGATATAATTGGAAAGCCATTATCAGTGATCTGTGAAAGATTGTGGAAAATGAGAGTGGTGCTACAATACTAAAGATATATATCAGGCAAATATCCTGATACCCCAATAAAGGAAGAAAATGCAATCTGCATGCAATAGGTCAGGGAGTTTGATTTTGGCTGTTGGCAAAATTCTAGAAGACATTTTTAAGGGGATGGTGTTTAAATACTCAGAAGGGGAAGCTTGCAGAGCTAGCATGGCTGTATCAAGAGTAAGTCATGCCAGACTACCATACAAGAATGTTGAAGGATTTAATTTATCAAGTAAGCACGTATTAATCATCTGCTATGGGTCAGGCACTACACTAGGTGCTGGGAATACAAAGACAAAAACAAAATAGTCTCCGTCCTTAAGGAACTAACTCCAACTCGTATGCGTAAGTAGCAATTGCCCTGTATACTCTTCAGAGCAAGGAAAGCTATATCTCCACCTCAGAACTCTAGAGGTACACCTGAGGGGTTGGAAGTGTCTTTCTCTAATGCTCTTGAGTTAAGCCTTCATTTCAACCAGTTCCCCTCAATTGTTAGCCATCAATAATTAGCATCATTCCATTTATCCAATGAACAACAATAAGCTTTTACAAAGGGATATTCTACTGCAAAAATATAGCAAGAACAGAGGCATAAAGGTCCCCTCCCCTCTACGCTAATACCTGGAGGCTTACTTTCTTCTATGCCTCCTCAGTCCCTTAGAAGAGTAAATTCAATCTTAACACAATTTCTGCATAGCATTGGCCCCAGTAACTTTATTTCCAAATGTGAGATAGACATTGAATTAGCCCAAGTCTCAACTACCACTAGGCTGAGTCATGAAGATCAATCCACAGGGCCAAGATACTAAAGACCACAAGACTCAGCATGGACTCCACTCCTAGACCTCATGGTAACTCAGTCACTGGTACTTTTGAGGCTCATAAGCTTGGTGCTGTGTCCAATCTTCACCTAAAAACAGGAAGAATAGACATGACATCAACAGAAGCAACAGGTGGACCATATACTTACAGGATATATCATGATAGCCCTGGTGGGAAGAAAAAGGCCTGAGGCTTCTCTCCCCACCTAGGGCTTAGTCCTTACCTTCTCACTTTGAACATGCCAGGCAGAAATACCAAGAGACAAGCCCTGGCCTTTTCAATGAACCCCAGTTCTAGCTACTCTTCACCATGTGGATAGTAGGCCAGAGTCAGTTATAGAATATCTGCATGTATTCCAAAGTCCACATGGGAATTGCATCAGTTGAACCATACACTGTTCATGTAGAAGTTAATATAATCCATATAAACTTTTTAAAAAGGGCATCTTTAGATAAGAAAAGGCATAGAGATAGCAGGATAACTATCTTTAGGGTACTGAAGGACTTTCATGTAGAAGTAGAATTTGTCTTGGTCTGATTGTCCCTGTAGGGCAAAATTAGGAACATTGGAGTGAAGGTGAGGGTTAGGGTGATAGTTGCATAGGGAGAAACATATTTCTGAATGAGGTAAGGAAGAAACTTCTACCTTAAGAGGCAGTGGATTCACCCTTATTGGACCTCTTCAAGTGAAAACTAGAAGACCACTTGCTGACTGTGAGAAATTATTCATCTGGATCCTACTCTATTCCAATAAGTATTAATCAATTTTATATTTTACATAAATCATTTAGGAATAATTAGATAAGATAGGTTCTTATTAGTAGGCTTTTATAATGGGTCTTAAACTTTAATGTAATGTTCACTACTTGTTTACCAGTTATGAAGCTCACTTGCACAAACACAAAAATGATGATAAAGATATCTCCATTCTGTTTTACTCAAATTCCATGTCCAAATCCAGCATGGGTGGAATACCTTGAGGCTTTGGAAAGTCCTCCAACTCTTTTGGACCTCTTGATCACTCTTTCTTGTCATCATAACCACTTAGTCGGTAGAGATGCTCCATGCTTCACCAAATCCGTGACCCCATTGCTGATAAGTCATTTTAGGCCCTCAAAAGCAAGATCTGTCAAACAATGAGATTCTGTCTTTTACCATTCCTCTTTTGCATATTTGGGTATCAAACTGTACAAAAACAAGGTCCTGGAAGAAGGGGGCATCTGAGATCCTGAAGAAGGATCTGAGGTCCACTTCATTAGAGAGGACCATAGACCCTTTCACAAAGTGCCATTGGATCAGAGCTGTGCCTCAGCAGATTGGGCAATTATAATCCCCACATGACTATGTTTATAGAGAAGATTCCTATATAAATACACACTGGAATAGTCAGCTCTGAGGTCCTTTCTATTTATGAGATTCTCTTATTTTCAATCACATGTGATGCTGACTAAAACAGATTATTATAAGAATGTTGGCAAATCTCTTCCATTTTGCATCTATTTGTTGTCTTTCTTCTAGTTAAATGCATAAATGTTCTTGGGATGCTATGCTTTAGCTATATCTCAAGCCAACCTCTCCAAAGGCTCAATTCGTCTAGTATTTCATAGGGCAATGGTACTCAAAATCTTCTATCATCCTTTTACATAGTATTTTGAAAATAAACTAGCAATATAAGCTGATGCTGTCCTTGACTGTCATGTTCTACATTTGGCACAAATAGTGAGTACTTGCTAACTAACATGGTTTCTGGGTTTTATAAGCCTAGTTGTGATGTCTGCCTTCTCTCACTTAGACTTCTCTAGGAAATGGTTATAGAATCAACATCTTTATTTCTCGACAATGCCCATTTTGCAGTAAATAGGCTATTAAATCAGGGTGGGTTGGAACTGCTATAAACCTACACAGTAGCTTCTCATCTTTCTCCTTTCTTCTTCTTCCTTTTCTTTTCTTTTTTAGGCAATTGGAGTTAAGTGACTTGCCCAGGGTTACACAGCTAATAAATGTCAAGTGTTTGGTCTGAGGCCGGATTTGAACTCAGGTCCTCCTGACTTCAGGGCTGGTGCTCTAACCACTGTGCCACCTAGCCACCCACTCTCCTTTCTTCTAAGCTAGTTTTATTGCGATGCTTACTATTACCTCATGTTGGCCTGCTTGCACACACAAATTAGCCACATCTTTGAGCTGTTTAAGATATAGTCAATTTTATTTATAATGCCATTTCTTGCTCTCTACGGGTGATGCTTCTTCCATGATCTTCATGTTCAGTACCTAGACTCTCTTCTTAAAGTGTCCATGATATATGTGTAAGGCTATGAAAACTCTTTGAATTCTTTCTTTTCTTGATCTTAAAGCAAGATTTGTGTTTTGTTTTGTTTTTAGCAAGGCATTGAGTTCTGAAGTATATGTTGACTTAGTTTTTAGAATCATGTTAAGTTTTTCAGTCAGTCAACAAGCATGTATTGAGCACTTACTATGTGCCAGGCACTATGCAAAGTGCAGGGGAAAATGAAGAAAAGCAGAAATAGTCCCTATCCTCAGGGAGCTTACATTACAATCGGGCAAACAACATGGAAGTAACTATGTACATAAAGATACAGAGTGCATAGAAGGCAATATCAGAGAGGGAGGAAGAAGTAGCTAGGGCAGTAAAAGTGTTACGGGGGTGGAAGAGAAGCCCAAACAATGCTGTTGCAAGCCCCAACATTAAAAAAAGGGCAGTTTGATCTAGTGGGAAGAGCAATCAACTTGGAATCCCAGGACCTGGTTTAGAATCTGGGCTCTACAATTAGCTAGATAATGATGTCAGCTTTCAGAGAGGTCTGTAGTGAGATAGTATAGAAAGAAACTTGGTTCTGTGCTTGTTAATGTTTTTGTCAATTACTTAGATGAAGACATGTTTGTCACATTTATAAATGGCAAAAGTTAGGAGGACAGCAAACACTTTGGAGGACAGAGCATCTAAAATGTTCTGAAGGACTAGAATGATGGGACAAATTAAATATGATGAAATTTATAAGGGACAAATATGAAAGTCTACACTTGTAAGATGATTTTTGTGAACGTAGTACAGGGTGGGGGAAACCCCCTGTAAGCCACCAGATTGAGATGTATTTCTTTTCTGATTTTTTTAAAGTTTGAACACTTGTAGTCCCTACCCATTAAATTCTAGGCTTTAGGCACTTTTGATGGGGCCTTAACTTTCCCCTTATTGGTGGATTTGTGAAGACTTAGAACTGGTGGGTCAAATGAAAACCTCCTACCTTTCAAAGCTAACCTCCCAGCTGTCAGATCTACTTAATTTCCTAAGTTGATCTTATCTTTCAGTTTTATTACATTCCAGAATCCTTAAGTTTAGCAATTTTTAATACACCATAAGAGATCTTATCTGCCACATCCCCATCAAAACTTGTTTTTCTTCTATTCTTTCAAACTCTCCTCCACCAGGCTAGTTAATAATGAGTGGGTAAATAAACCAATCCTTGCTAATGAGCTAGATAGCTAATAGTACTCCTTCCAGGTAACAAAATAGTTTAACTAATGAATTAGCCAATTTTTCTAGAGGTTGTTAAGGAGTAAATCTAGTGGTAAACACTGGGTTTGGGGGCGGGGAGGGAAGGAGGCAGGAATGATTAAACAGAATATACTTTTTTTTTTCCTTTTTGCTAGGCAATTGGGGTTAAGTGACTTGCCCAGGGTCACACAGCTAGTAAGTGTTATGTGTCTGAGGCTGGATTTGAACTCAGATCCTCCTAAATCTAGGGCTGGTGCCACCTAGCTGCCCCTCGAAGGATTTATCATAATGGAGTATTAAATCATTTAAAACATTAAGTGTTTAGCTCACTTATTTATAAAATGGAGAGAGACAACCACTATGGTTCCTTTAAGTCTTTATTCTGATTCTATGATATAATTAGCTATTCAAACAGGTTAAAGTATAAAATTAGGCAACATCATACAGGCAATGTAAATCCTGAATTAAAGATGTAAAACCAGTACTTAAAAAAGCAAACAGAGAGGCCACATAATTAGTGTGAATGCTATGTACTAGTTGCAGATGAAGGTCTCTCCATGGTTTAGTAGGGAGTTTTATGAATTATGGGAGAAAAAAAGTATCACTTGGTAGCCAGTCTTCAGATTATGAGCCTCTCCTAATGTAGCCCAACTGTCCTCAGGCCCATAACTGAAAATTTTCCAGTTTGGTTGAACTTGCTGCCAGAGCTTTAGTTCTTTGAGAACCTCAGGTCACCTCAGGGCAACAATGAGGCATCCAAGTAGGTTATTAAATAGCTCATTTGGGGGTTTTCCTATTTTCTTCTTTGTACTTGAGTATTTTAAAATAATTGCTTAGTAATTCACATGATTACATTTTCAAATAACTTTAGTCAGTTTGCCTCCAACAACAGAATCCCCCAAATTACAAATATGTTGAGGTTAGAGAATCACTTGAAAAGCCCTAAGGAAGCCTCAAAATAGTATATAGAAATGGAGAATCTTAGGATTGAATGAGACTGTGGAACAACACAGCAATACTTTAACTAAAGAAAATGTAAGATAAGTGAGATTCTTACGTACTCTTCACATCTGTGGTTTTCCACATTTATGGCTGGCTGGGTTAGATATGGAATTTTAAGAATATGTTATACAGATACATCTATGTTCATATTTCTATATAGGTATATGTATTATGTCTTGTAACAAGAATCTCCCAAGTATCCCAACTGACAAAAGGTGTAATGGTACAATAAGAGTACAACATCAATATGTCAATTGCCTGAGCCTACTAGCTGGGGATAAAAAAAATGCAAAAGATAAAAAAAGTCTCTGCTCTGAAAGAAGTTACATTCGATTGGAATCTGTGGTTTGCATTTAGCAGTATATGAAAATAAAAGCATAAGACAAAAATAACATATACTATTGGTAGTCAAATCTAGGCTTCTCAGTTCTATCACTGGTAGATATCTCTGGTAAATCTCTTGGCTTATTTATTTCAGTTTTTACCATATATAGAGTGAAAATTATCAGTAGTAATCATCCCTTAGTATTTATAGATTTATAAAGCAGAAATCACTTTTGGAGAGTATACTTTAAAAAATAAACTCACTTCTAATTCAACTGGAAGAAACCAGTAGAGTTATTTTTGGAGCAAGATTTATTCTATACAGTGATCAGAAATTATGGTGGAAAAATCACCTTTAAAATGTTAAAAAAAATTTTTTTCCAATTACATGTAAAAACAATTTTAAATATTTGTTAAACATTTGAGTTCCAAATTCTCTCCCTCCCTCACTCCCCTCTCTGCTCCTTCAAAGGCAAGAACTTGATATGATTTGACATGTAAAGTTGTGCAAAACATATTTCCATATTAGCCACGTTGTGAAAGAAAACACAGACCAAAAAAACCAAACAAACAAACAAGAAAAATAAAGTTTAAAAAAAAGTATGATTCAATCTGTATTCAGACTCCATCAGCTCTTCCTCTGGTGGTGGATAGCATTTTTCATCAGAAGTCCTTTGGAATTGTCTTGGATCACTGTATTGCTGAGAATAGCTAAGTCATTCATAGTAGATCATTGCTGTTACAGTGTACAATGTTGTTCTAGTTCTACTCACTTTACTTCGCATTAATTCACGCCTTTCCATGTTTTTCTGAAAGCATCCTGCTCATCATTTCTTATAACACAACAGTATTCCATCACAATCATATACCACAACTTGTTCAGCCATTTCCCAATTGATGAGCACTCCCTCAATTTCCAATCCTTTGCCACCAAAAAAAGAACTGCTATAAATATTTTTATACAAATAGGGCCTCCCCCCTCCTTTTTTCACAATCTCTTTGGGATACAGACCTAGTAGTGTACTGCTGGGTCAAAGGGTATGCACAGGTTTATAATCCTTTGGGCATAAGTTCCAAGTTACTCTCCAGAATGGTTGGACCAGTTTACCACTCCACCAGCAGTGCATTAGTATCCCAATTTTCCCACATTCCCTCTAACATTTGTTATTTTCCTTTTCTGTCATGTAAGCCAATCTGATAGGTATGAGGTGGTGCCTCAGAATTGTTATAATTTGCATTTCTCTAATCAATAGTGATTTAGAGCATTTTTTATATGACTATAAATAGCTTTGATTTCTTCTTCTGAAAACTGCCTGTTCCTATCCTTCAACCATTTATCAATTGGGTAATGACTTGTATTCTTATAAACTTGACTTAATTCTCTACATATTTGAGAAATGAGATCTTTATCAGAGAAACTTGCTGTAAATTTTCCTCCCAGTTTTCTTTCTTTTTAATCTTGGCTACACTGGTTTTGTTTATGCAAAATGTAATGTAATCAAAATTCTCTATCTCTTTTTTAGCCACAAATTCTTCCCTTATCCATAGATCTGGCAGGTAAATTATTCCATTCTCTCCTAATTTGTTTATAGCATCACCCTGTATGTCTAAATCATGTACTTATTTTGATGTTTCTTGGTATAGAGCTGAGTTGTTGGTCCATACTTAGCTTCTGCCAAACTATTTTCCAGTCTTCCCGGCAGTTTTTGTCCTAAAAGCTAGGATCTTTGGGTTTATCAAACACTAGATTGTTGTTTGTCCTTCCTGCTCTAATAGGACCAAAATGATATCACAATTTAGGGGTCAACATGTAGTCCTGCTGTAGATCCTCAACTATACATGGCATCACTGAATAATACTAGATTACTATGATCGTTTACTATGGTGTTTTTTGGACTTAATCTATTCCACTGATCCACCATTCTATATCTTAATCAGTACCAGATTGTTTTGATTATTACCATTTTGTAATAGTTTGATATCTGGTACTGTAAAGAGCAATTTTTGATTCTGGGCAAATCACTTAATCTCACTGGGCTTCAATTTCCTCATCTGTAAAATGAAGGAATTTAGCTAAATAATTTCTAAGATGGTCTCCACCTCTAAAACCTATTATTCTTAAGCTGTTTCGTCTATGCAGAAATATACCACTTGAACAATTAAAGGAAATGTTTGAGTTGAAAACCTACACACATTACACTGCTAGTTGACTTGATGTGGTCACTGCAAAATGTACATTTTTTCAGCAATAAAAAATACATGTAGATTTTCTCCCCCCCCCAATGTATATTTGTACTACATCCACTGCCTGCTTCAGTACTTGGTCTTAAGATTTCCCTTTACTTGCAATTGTGTAATGTTAAAATTGAGTTCGAAGGGTCATAGATTTAGGGCTGGAAGGAGCCTTTAAAGTCTAGTTCAACCCCTTTAATTTATAGACTTACGAAATCGAGACCCAGGGAGGTCGCGACTTGTACAAAGTCACTCAAGTAATAACTAGCAGAATCAACACTGGAACTCACGTTCTCCGACCCCCGGCATGCCAGCCATCACGCCTGGCAACACCTCATAACTTGCCCTTGGTTTTTGCGGCACTCTCATAATTAAAGGTTGGGGGAAAGCTGGGTAACTTATTACTCGTGTGGTCGGGGAAACTCGGGCTTCCTAAGTATTTTTATTTTCATTCTGTTGTTGTCATTTTAATGAGCTGTCTAGCGCCCCGCTGGCGTTCCATAAACACGAAATGAATGAAATAAAATGCAGTTTAAACAAAGCCTCGGTGAAAAGCTCAGCGCCACCCAGGTAGTCTGCGAATGAATTTGGGAGGGGACAAGATTTCAGGAAAATCTGGTGCTTTCCGAAAACCCTATTTTAAAGGCCAACCAAAACAGTTAGCCAGGAAGTTCCCGGGGGGCTTCCCATGTTCCTGCGCTCAGCTGCTTTCCTGCAAACCCGGCCTTCGGCCGCCTCCACCTCCGCCCCTCTGACCGCCAGGGCCAAGGCCGGAACCCCAGCCCACGCGGGGCCCGTATCCTCCCTGCCCCTCCCCTCCCCTCCCAGCTGCCGGCCACAGCTGCGGCTCCGGCTCCGGGGCGGGGCTGCTTCCTCAGCCTCCTCCGCCCCTCCGGCTCGGTCTATAACTCAGCGCTCCTCTGGCCTGCGCCCAGAACCGCGGCCCACCCGGGGCAGGTGAGGGCGAGAGAGAGAGCGGGACGTGGCGGGCTGGGGCGGGCTGGGGCTGGGCGCATGCGTGCCGCGTTCCCCGGGAAGCCGCCCGGCGCTCCTGCCCCGCGGCGCTCACAGCGCCCCCCAACGGCGGCGCGCTTGGAGGCCCTCAGCCGCGGCTGGGAGGCGGCGAGGCTGCGACGGCAGCGCTTGGCTCCGCCCCTCGCCCAGGGCCCGCCCCGGCCCCCATCCCGGCCTCCTCGAGCGGCTGCTCCTCCTCCCGCTTTGAGGTTCTTTCCTGCGCTCGGCTCAGGGACGCAGCAGCGGTAGGGGCTGCGGCGTCAGCGGCGCTCGTTCGGCTCGCCTCGCCTCGCCTCCTTTGTGCTCGCGCAGCGGCGGCGCCGACCCCGGCAGCGCCTGCTCCGCTTCCTGCTGCTGCTCTCTCTGTTTTCACAGCCCCGCTCCCAGGCCGGAGGCCTCCGTCGGCTGCGCGGCCGGCTTTCGATGCCCGGTGGCGTCTCCCGCTGAACTGCACGTCGGCCGCCGCCGCTGCCGCCTTCCTTCCCCGTGAGCGGAAAGCCATGTCTGCGGCTTCGGGAGCTGGCTCCGCCGTCGAGGCGGGCTTCTCCAGCGAGGAGCTGCTGACGCTCCGCTTCCCGGTGCATCGCGCCTGCCGGGACGGGGACTTGGCTGCGCTCTGCGCCCTGCTCCAGCACACACCTCGCGCCCACCTGGCTGCCGAGGACTCCTTCTACGGCTGGACGCCCGTGCACTGGGCCGCGCACTTCGGGAAGGTGAGCAAGGGCGGGGGGGGGGCGGCAGGGACCGGTCGACGGAGCAGAGCGAGGGCTGCCTTGGCAGCCGCGCACCGCTTCCCGGGCTCTAGCGAGCGGTGAAGTGCGGGTGGGGGCGGGGGGAAATGTTGCTTTAAGGCGCCATTTTCTACAGTTCTGAGCTTTTTTTTTTTAAATTGTCCTTCCGTGGGGAGTGATGGGACCCGAGTCGGAGCTGTGGAGCGCGGGCTGATGGAGCGGCCCGGCGCATGCGCATAGCTCTTTCCCCGGCCCTTCCCCCCCCCCCCGGCTAGCCCGGGAAGCCCCTGGTGGGAGGGAAAAGTGGCGGTGGATGGGCCGAGGAAGCGGGCGATGTCGCGCCTTGTCTCGAATGGGAGCCTGGAGCGGATGGGAGCGGGTGGACGCTTCTGGGGAGGGGGAGGGGATGGCGCCCTCCGGCTCCTAAGGGACACTGGGGGAGGGGAGAGCCAATTTCAAACTTGGGGGCGGGCTCCCTTGGAGGCCAGCCTTTTGTCCTCCCCTTGACCCCGTTGCGGGGAAGGGGCTGATCTGTGTGCCAGGGGGTGCTGGTAAGGATGGCTCGGAGGGGCGGGGCTGGCAGCGGGGTCCAAGTATGAAGTCCTTGCAGGCACGGCACCTGAGGGGCGGGGTGGGGGAGGGGAGAGCAGCCTCCTTTTAACGGCTGCCGCGGCGCGCGGAAGCGGCCCCCGGCAGTCGGGCCCCATGTGCGCGCCTCCCGCCTGGCTCGGCTGGGCTGCTTCCTGGCTCTGGCGCGGTGCAGGCATCTCGGGAAGGTCTCCTCTAATAGCCCCGTAATGGAGGCGCCTCGGGTGGTTGTAGCCGGGGCCGGGGCCGGGCCGGCGGTGACGCCAAGCCTTTCAAGTGGTCTGGGTTATTGCCCAGTAAGTATTTTGCAAAAGCTGTCTAATTTGCAGCTTAGAAAATAGCCCAAGAAGCTGCTTTTAGAGAGCCTGGAATGCTTAAAATAGAGATTTGAGGCGAAGTTTTTGTAGTAATGTATATTTTGTCTATAAGAATAGCAGTGTGACCCCTGCTTTCCTGTGGAAAAAGACTTTACTGCAGCATCGGAGTGACTGTTTTTCTGTTATGGCAACTAAGTTGTTAGGTGTTGTAACAGACAAAGAGTCCATTGTATGCCCCACGGATTCAAATCTTAGACACCAATGGCTGAACAAGTTTGCATATATACATGTGGGAACGCATTTACTAAATTAAGCTTATTGTTTTTAATAAAATTCCTGCCTAAAAGGGTTGTTTATAGTTACTGACTAAATAATTAGTTCACTACTTTGGATAATAATCTCATGTTATTAATGATCCGTAATCAGATTGTAATGAGATTTTTTCCAATTAATGATATACAAGCCGAAATAGTTCAGTTATGTAATGAATGCAGAACTATTCTCAGATTTAGAGATGGAAAGGGAACTTTTAAGAGTTCGTTACTTATGTGAAAACTTTGATAAATACCTTGGATAAAGTCCTATTTCAAAAACTTAAAGGAAAACTTGAAGCTGTCTTGATGTTATCGTAGTGGTGTAGTATAAGACAGTTTTTGAACGAATAAACTCTAATGCTGCTTATACTTTGTAATCTAACCGCCATTTATCCTTAATTACAGCAGACTTGATTATCTCAAGTTAAAGCATAGTGAATATTCTGGTGTGATGTATTCAACTATTCCGGGGACCAGATTTAAGATCATAACATTCATAGTTGGAGGGGGCCTTAGAGATCACCTCGGCCCAAAGAGGCTAATTAAATGACTTGCCCTTGGTCACAGGAAATAAGTAACAGAGCCAGGATCCAAATCCAGTATTTTTTCCACTATACCTGAAGTTCTTAATAATCAATTAGATAAAATTTGCTGGTATGTGTGTGGTAAAGTTTTCTTATAAATCTAGTAGAGTAGCAAGAACGTTGAATTTTGAGTTAGAGATCCTGAGTTAAAAGAAATGCTTCATTTATTTTGCATTCCCAAGGACTAAGGTATTCCGCATAATTCAAATTTTCCAGCCAACTAAAGCTTACTTCTCTTAAAAGTGACACCTTCTTAAAACAGTTTTTGAAGAAAAACTCACTCATCTGCCTTTTACTACACAAAATACAGAACATAACTTACTTGTATGTGCCTGATTCAGGATCATTATTATGAGTATGACCTTGGACATACTTAACCTTTTTAAAGAGAGGGAATTGAGCTAGATGTTCTCCAGTGTACCTGCCTCCTGTACTATGTGACCTAATGCAGGGGTGGCCTCAGAAGCTATTAGTGTTTATATCTGAAACTAGATTGTTGAAACCTAGATTGTTGATTTTTGTTATTGTATCCTTCCTTTGGTTAGCTGTGGAGCTGATTAAATGCCCTTCATGAATCTAATCTGATACAAATCATTATTAGATGAGTTTTTTTATGGCTATTTTCCTCTCTGCAAAAATCTCTTTTGATTGGAGGCTATGATCATATGCAGGGTTCTGGGTTCCTAGTACTCTCAAGAGTATAAAGAACTGTTTTTAATTTTAACCTTGGGCAAGTCACTTCATGCTGAGCTGCAGTATATCTGTAAAATGGAGGTGGGGAGGGTGGAGGGGACAGGTCCCTTTCAGTTCTAAAACCCTTGAGATTTTTTACTGATAATCCAGTTTAGTGGAATATCCAATATTATATATTTCTGGGGATTGGTCTGGATCAGTGAATTTTAATCCATGTGAGGGAATTCCTGGAAGGGAAACATGCTTCACTGATGGTAATCATTAACTTGTACCTCCTGCTCCTGTTTGCTAATGATTACATAGGTAGAGAGTGGCAGCTCCGAATCCCGGTGTTTATGACTTCAGGACTGGCTCGGGTTCTTGCTGCATATCAAATGGAGAAGGGGTAGAATTAAGTGTTTTTCTTTTTGTACATGTTTCCCACTTTAAGCCAACCAGATATTTGACTGTCCAGGTTTATGAGCAAGATGAAGTATAATATTCTCTAAGTTTCGCTTTAAAAGCTAAGTTCTGAATATAAAAGTGTGAAAGTGGCAGCGTAGACTAAATGATTTCTAAGAGTTCTTCTAGATTATTCTGATTCTATGCAAATTTTCCATTCAGAATCTTGCACAGAGCAGCATAATAAATAAATTTTGTAATAGTACAAAAGCAAAGAATTTAGACTCAAAATTGTAGTCAGAGTTGTGACTGCTGCTTAGCTAAGTGTGAATTATCTTTAGTGATTTTGTTTACAAAAAATCAAGTTACAACTTTCTGAAACAAATCTGTTGTGAAAAGTAAAGCGAGCTTGTAGCTGAAGTGTTTTAGGTGATGTTTGTGTTGAACTAGGAAATGGTAAAGGCAAAACAAAATATTTGTTATATTAGTATACAGTATGAAATAGTATAACCTAGTTTCTTTTTAAGAAGGACTAATGTTCCATTAACTTTTTTGTAATGCCGTCAGTTATCGTTTTTTGTAATGTCTTTAGTTCTTTTTATGATAGCACTATCTTAGTAACTAATTGGCTTATCATTTTTTATGAGGTGAAAGATGACTTGAAGATACCAAAAGGCGTTGAGATTGCAATTTGGAAGGAAGCCAAGTTAGTCTCTTAAGAGGAATGCTATACTGCCTTGTCAAATCCCTGTGGGCATAGATAACTGGAGATGTGCTGCAGCAACTCCCGGCTGGGCACATTAAACAGTTTTTAAGAATGTTTAAACTTTTGTAAGGCCACTTGTGAAAACTATATTGGTGGCTTTGTGTTGTTTTTTTTTTTTTCCAAAACAACATGTTTGTAAGAGGCAAAGTAGAATATTGAATAGAGAGAGAGCTAGTGGTCTCAGTGAGAAAGACCTACCTGAGCAAGTCAAATAACCTTTTGATGCCTCCGACAACTCTGACGATTAAAAATTGCTCAGCTTATGTTCATTAATAGAGAAAGTTCTCTCTAGGAGTTCCCAATGCCATTGAAATCATTAGTTCATCCAAAAAATATATCTATTATGGCTAATCCGTATGCATCCTAATTTCCAGTATTGTCTTTAAAGACAGTCTAATGATGTCACAAACAACATCTGCCTGTCTCAGTGGAAAGAATTCCCATGCTGACAAAATTGCTGATTCTTGAAGACTATGTGTTTGTCACACAGGGGGGGGGGGAGACACCAAAAATTAGTGTTGTCAAGATCACTAGCCTAGGGTAACCATACCAAGAGACCAAATAAGTTGATTTCAGAATCATATTTTTTTTTTATGATTGCACCATACCTTGAATGTATTGCAAGGCTTTTCTAAATTTAGTTTTGTTTTTTTGTTGTACTATTTTAAAATGACTTTTTGTCACTATTGGTAAAGAAAGTAGTAATAATAAAAGCTCTGTCTTTGCAAAAACTCTGAGGTAATGGTAATACAAGTCATACAAGAAGTATTCTTCTTACCCATAATTTACTGCCTTCCAGGTTATTTAAAGCATGAACACATTCTATTATTTATGGATTATGCAAGATTTTGAGCAGCATATAAGAAAGCACTGTTCTTTAGGTATTAAATAAAAGCTGAAATGTGTAAAATATCCATATATTTGTTAATTTATTTTAAATACATTTTAATTACATTTTAATACATTTTAAAACAAACATAACCTGCTATATGTCATCATATATTTATTTTTTCAGATTGGTGATCACTGGTACTTTCATTATATGAAATTCTTTACACTTCTGTGACTCAGTATTTTAAGGTGCTAAACAAGTTTTTTTTTCTTTAATTTCACCTGTGCTCATAAGTAATTGAAAAGTTCTTTTTAGAATTAACCTTTAAAATCAGCCGTCTGGAATTTTTTAAAGGTATTTTTCAAATACTACATATTTAATATTGTAAAGGGGGCAGCTAGGTGGTGCAATGGATGCAGTACCAGGCCTGGGGGTCAGGAAGACTCTTGCTAAGTTCACATTTGGTTTTAAGCACTTACTGGCTGTGTGACTCTTAGGTCACTTAACCATGTTTGCCTCAGTTCCTCATCTGTAAGATGAACTGGAGAAGGAAATGGCAAACCACTTCAGTATCTTCGTTAAGAAAACTCCAAAGAGTCACGAAGAGTGACACACAACTGAACAACAAAAGTATTGTGGAAACTACAAACAAAGACATAAAATAGGAAAATAATTTTATAAAGAAAAACAGTAAATGCCATTAAAACTTAGTATTCAGTTTTTGTACTTAATATATTGTATAAGGTAATGCTTTAGGCATAGTGGATAGTTCATCAAGAAGTGTCTTTTTAGGGCAGCTAGGTGGCGTAGTGGGTGGAGCACCAGCCCTGAAGTCAGGAGGACCTGAGTTCAAATGCATGCAGCCTCAGACCAAAGTCACTTAACCCCAATTGCCTAAAAATTAAAAAAAGAAAGAAATGTCTTCTTGTCACATTCAGGCATGTCCTACTCTTTATAACCCCATGGCCATAGCATGCCAATACTGGCCATGAGGTTTTTCTTGGCAAAGATAACTGGAGTAGTTTGCATTTCCTCCTGCAGTGGATTAAGGGAAACAGAGGTTAAGCCACTTGTCAGGGTCACATACTTAGTAAATAAGGCACGTTGCCTAGTAAGTAAGCCATCATCTCTGAAGATGTATTTGAACTCGTCTTCCTAGTGCTCCATCCCTTGAGCCACTAGCAGCCCCTAACTTACTCTCTATAGGAGTAGATCTTTGGTGCACGTGTTAATAATGGACAGCTTTTGTGGAGCTCAAATGATGAGGGTCCAGGAGACAAGGGGACTTTTCCTTAGAGGCAATTCCTTAAAGGCTTTCCCCATTCTCTCATTTCTTGTATGTGTTAAATTGTGATGTGTTTTTACCATACAGCAGTGCATTAGCTATATTCCTCCTTTGGAAGAACTGGGATATTTCCCTGTAATGCCATTTGACTGATTTCAAAACCTGGTTTTTATTTTCCCCCCCAAATTAACTGTGACAGTTAATCTTTTAAGAATGTGAAATATCATTTCCTGATGCTAGTCTCAGCAATACAGTGTTCCAAGACTATTCTAAAGGACTTGCAATAAAAAATGATATCCACATCCAGAGACAGAACTGAAGTAGTCCTAATGCAGATCAAAGCATATTTTTTTCGTGTTTTTTTTTTCCCTTTGGGTCTGTGTCTTTCACAACATGACCAATGTGGTAATATGTTTTGCATGATTGAACACATATAACCCATATCAAATTGCTTAACACGTCTGGGAGGGGGCAGGTGAGAAAGGGAGGGAGAAAATTTGGAACTCAAAGACTTTTTTTAAATGATTGGTTAAAAATTGTCTTCATTGTAATTAGGGGAAAAAAAGAAAATATTTAAAAAATTTTTTTTAGTTAAAATCATTGTCCTGTACTATGTTCAAGAGAATGTGGTTATAGGCACTGGGTACAATGACTAATATTTAGATAAGAGGTAATCTTGAATCTAATTAGTGTTTATATTACACATACACAAATAACTATCATACAAGATAATTCAGGATAAGTGCAAGATAAGTATCATATCCATAACTTATTAAACTTTTTTGACCTTGAGTCAGACTTTTAATGTCTCTGAAACTCGGTTTTCTCTAAAATGGGAATGGTCTACCAATCTCCCAGCAAAGTGCTTTGTAAACTGTAAAGCATTTTATGACGTGAGTTTTCACCAAGTGAGGTTTGGGGGAAACAGCAAAGTTTTCACCATCAAAACACTTGAAGTAGGCTTTAAGATGATGAATTTTACCATATAAGGTAGAAAGAAAAAAGGCAATTCAGAAATAGGGAATACTTTGAGCAAAGGTGTAGTGGCAGAGATGTGAAGGTAAGAAAATAGCTCAGTTGAGCTGAAATGTAGAACATGTGATCAGTGATAGCAAAATTCTGACATTTTGAGTGGTGCTAGGTAATTGAGAGCCTTGAATGTTGGCAAAGGGATTTGAACTTATTTTTGTAAACATTAGGTAGGGAGCCATGCAAGAGTGACTTGAGCAGAGCTATGCCTAAGGAAGATTGGTCTGGTAAGTAGTTTGAAGGGTGAATTGTAGTGGGGAAACAACTGGAAACTGGAAGACCAATTAGAAGACTAGTATAGTTCAGATGGTGCGGAAGGCTGGATCTAGGACTGGGTTAAAGGGACGTGTGCCCAAGTGATATTGAGGAAAATGAGAATAAAATGAACGAGGGTTGACAGCTGTATGTGGGAGATTTATGAGAAGGGTGGTACCACACGAAATAGTGGCCAGTCAGAAAGTAAAACAAGATTTTCAGGAAAGGAAGTGAAATCTGAATTTGGCTTATGTTGTGGCAGCAAAACCAGATGATCTTCTTCTGTAGGCTGTTGGGGTTGTAGGTGTTTAGAGCTTAAGAAAGAACTCATTAGAGATACATAGATTAGAGAGGTTTCAATGCAAGCCTCAGGAGTATATACAGAAAATTTCTAATTTAAGAATGTACCAGTTACAGAATAGAGTAGGATATGAACAGGGTGCTAGACTGAGGGGAAATTGTACCTTCTTTAGAGATGACCATTTCTGGGGGCAGCTAGGTGGTGCAGTGGATAGAGCACCCACCCTGGAGTCAGGAGGACCTGAGTTCAAATCCAGCCTTGGATTTGACACTTGACACTTCCTAGCTGTGTGACCGTGGGCAAGCCACTTAATTCCAAGTGCCTCTTTAAAAAAAAAAAAATGACCATTTGTGAAGGGTGTTGTGAAGGGGATTGTTGCCCCGGAAAAGGTTAGATCAACAACTTTTGAGATCTCTTCCAAGTAGAAGAGTCTGATTTGGGTATTTTGTTTTTTTTCAATGGGGCTCATCACTATGGGGCAAATGTTTTACAGGTATATTTAATAGTACAATTAATGTAAGTGTTTCCCTTATTCTCACTGCTTTCTTAAAGTTGGAGTGCTTAATACAGCTGGTAAGAGCTGGTGCTACTCCGAATGTCTGTACGACACGATTTGCCCAAACACCTGCCCATATTGCTGCTTTTGGAGGACATCCTGAGTGCCTGATCTGGTTGATCCAAGCTGGAGCCAACATTAACAAACAGGTATTGAATATGACTAGACTTAACTAATCATTTTTTTGCAGTTGTACCAATTTGTACTCTGGTATTTAGAATTGATATTCTAACCAGAATTTGAGTTTTATTTAAAGTGCTAACTGTGATTTATTTTAATTGAATTATTTTGGATGAGTACCATTCATGAATCTATTTGTAAACACAAATCCCAGTTAGGAAATGAGATGTCTAAGAAAAAAGTACTATAAGCTAACGTAATCAGATTTACAAAAGAGTGTGAAAGAAAATTGGGAATATTCTGTGGTTCATTTAAAAACTGAAAAAGATAAGATAACTACAGTGTACTGGGCACAGAGAGAGAGAGAGAGAGAGAGTGTGTGTGTGTGTGTGTGTGTGTGTGTGTGTGTGTGTGTGTGTGTGATGAAGACCTGTGTCCTTACTCTTAAAGGGCTTTCTTTCATCAAGATAGAAAATAGAAATTTTTATGTCTGTGTCCAGTTCCTGTTTGTGCTTTCTCATCTTTTATTGTTTAATATTCTTTAAAGCTAATTGAAAAGAAAATATGAAGAAGAAGAATGTTTGGAAGAAAATAAGTGGAGGAATTCAAGCTAGTGGTTTAAAGTTCATATCTTGGACTTACTTCTGAGTAGGAAGAAAAGCTGTCCTATATCTGGAGAAATTTAATCCTTGCTTTGACTCCAGTGTTAGCCCTATAACCTGCCAAGTGGAAGGAATAGGCAGCCTGTCACTTGGTGCAACTGACTGGCACCCAGAGTAGTTGCTGATACCATTCTTCAACTAATCTGCTTTCCTTTTTTCTATTGAACATATCTTATTTTTCCCATTATTTCCCTTTTCCAGCAGTCTGTCTGCATCTTGTTCTCACCAGTCCCACTTTTTTCTCCCCATACACACATTTTTCCTTGCTTGGTTCTCTCATTCCTCCTTTTCTTCTCCAAAAGCAACCAAAACTTAATTCTTCAGTGCTTAAGTGAATGCATGATCTCATCAACATGGATATTCCATTGCAGTTCAAAACCCATTCATACTTCCTATCTCTGTGATTCCTGTCCATAGTCACCCATAAACTTCCCGTTGGATCTAAATGTGCTAGAGACCTTCTAGGTCTACGTACATTTTGTGAGTACTGGTGCAACTGCTTTTTGTGGGTAGGTCATTGTTGGAAATTGGCTGCTGCCTACTTGGCCCATTATGTGTATTTTCATTACCCTTTCAGTCGCTTGAAACTGTGATTCTTCACAGATAGTGGTGTTCCAAGATTTGAAGCCACATAACATCAGTCTCTTTTCAGATGGCCTTATGCTGATTTCATCAAGCTGTAGAAGACTACAGAGCCTTCTTAGTGAGATGCATGATTATTCAAAAAATTAACAATCCATCCAAAAAAAACAGATTAATGAAAATGCCTAGCATTCCCTTCCATTACTGTATTTATTTTGTATATAGCTTGTATTTACTTATCTTTGTATATGTTGAATCCTTTCAATAGACTATAAACGTCTTCATTAAAGGCAGGCATTGGCTTACTTTTGTGTCCTTAGCACCTAGCATAACCCCTAACAGGTAAAATCAGTAAACATTTTCTGAGTGCTTACTATGTGCCAGGCACTGGGATATAAAGAAAAGGCAAAACAGTCTCTGCCCCCAAGGAGCCCACATTTATTGGAGGGAGAAAATGTACATAATAGGTATATACAAGATTATAAGGGCATGTGGAAGGTTTTAGTGGCAGCTAGGACCAAGAAAGGTCTCTTTGACAAGATTGCATTTAATCTGAATTTTGAAGGAAGTCCAGGAATTTGTCAGGGTGAGACAAATCCCATGGAGTGAGGACAGGCATTGCTAAGGCACAGGAGATAATGGAGGGAGTATTGCACGTGAGGAACAACAGCAGGTATGTCAGAGTGGCTAGACTGTGGAAGTTAGTAATGTATAAGAAGGCAGGAAAGATAGGGGCTAGATTGTGAAGAACTTCAAAATGCCAGAACAAAAAGAAAGCAAAAAATACTCATTTTGATAAATGTCTATCAATTTGTTTTTGTTTTTTAAAAGAAGCAAAGTTTTTTATTTTTGTTTTTAATTTCTTTGTTGACTCGGTTGTATTTTTCTACTGAGAGTTAGTTGCCCCTAACCCGTACACCCCAACAAACAAAACCTCACACCTGTGCTTTATATTTCTTTGTCTGTTTGTAAATGATGTATATGGTGGACTTTCACTACTAATATACCCCCAGTCTTCATTAGGGATTCAGTTTTCCATTATTGACATCTATCTAGTGAATAAACATTGAGAAGTAAAAGATATATTAGATAAAGTTTAGAGAGGGTTTTAGTCAGCCGTTTTAAGTTGTCCATGCTAAAATCTTGAATATTTTGGGGGTAGAATTAGTTCCTTTTTCTTGGTTTCTGATATGTATAGGCATATTTTTCTTTTTCTGTTGCATGTTTTGCCTTCAGGTTTTTTAACCCAGAGAATTGAGAGCTGTGAGAGGGTGTTGTCGATTAGAGTAGATTTCCAGATTTTTAAAACGGTATCCCTTGAGTTCTGATTGAAGGCTATAGCAGTAACGTGATTCTTCTAGTGCCATAAAGTAAGTATTTCAGTATGGCGTAGTGGTGAGGGAGTTAACCTCAGAGCCAGAAAGAGATTTAAGTCCTGCTTCTGACACATAGTGGCCTTATGACCCTGGGCAAGTCACTAAACAGGTCTGCTCTAGACAACTCTCCATGATTAAATTTCGGAGGAGGTTCTGACTTGCCTTGGTTGAGGCAATTTCCTTACCTGGAATTCCCTATTCCAGTGAAATCACAGGTGTAGTTCCTGTCCCTCTTTAACTCATGTTTATCACAAAAAGCTTGTTCATAAATCTTATTTTACTGAGTCTTTTTTCCCCCCTTATTTGAGAACTGTCTTAAATGATGGAAATTTATACAGTTATTTTCTCCATGTTACTGGTGACCCAAATCTTTTATTTCAAGTATTGACATCTGATAAAATGCACATTTGGATTTTGTTCTGTTAATTTTTAGAAAGATTGCTCCTAAGTTCATTTTTGTTGTTTTTTAAAAAATATTCACAGTGGGTGAATTTTTGTATTCCAACAAAAAGATTATGTCTTTCTTTCTCAGACTTATATTTTTGTCTTCTTTAAAATTTGGCTAACAGCATTCTCATTGCAAAAGCCCACTGTTAATTGAATGAGTATAAGAAGAACAGTTACTTAAAATGTTATTTTTATTTGCAGGATTGTGAGGGTGAAACTCCTATTCACAAAGCTGCACGTTCTGGTAGTATGGATTCTATAAGTGCTCTTGTGGCTAATGGAGCTCAAATCGAGTAAGTGTGTTTTTTGTTTTTTGAACTGTGAAATGGAATAATTCAGAGTAGACTTTGTTAGAAGAACCCTAGAATAGACACTTTAAAGTGTTTCTTGAACAGTTAGATTGGTGATTTGTTTTTTATTTTTATTTTTTTCTTTACCAATTAACCTCTGACACAGAAGAAGCAAAATTTGCTACTGTTAAGCATTAGCAGACAAAAAGTTTGGCTTTCTTTTAACTTCACGTACAGTTCCATGGTGAGAGACAGTGTAGTGCAGTGGAAAATGCACTGGGTTATAGAGTCCTTAGGTCTGCATGACATGTGGCCTTGCACAGTTTACTTAGTATTTCTGTCGCTCAGTTTCTTCATCTATAAGATGAAGAAGCTGGATCTAAGGCCCTTCCATCTCCAAACTTCTAGATTCTAAGTCACATAACCTCTCTATGTCTTCATCTTATGAAATGAGGATGATTTCAACCTTAGGCTTTGAAAAAAGTCTATTGTGAAAGTTTTAATTTTCTTTTTTCAGCTCCTTATAGGAGTTGTATGGATATGTGTATTTGCATATATACAAACACTCATAGAACTTACTGGGGTATTGACACAGTAGTAGCATTATTGTAGGTCTTAGAAGAAAAATTTTGGTGCTGTAGTGTATCTTAAGATACACTGAGAGCTTTTGATTTGTACACGAATACTGTTAGGTAGCTTTGCATTAGTCATATATTTTAGGTGTTGACTACTAGTATATTTGCATTGTATTAACTTTAGAAGGTTAATTTTTTTAATTAAAATTTTGTACTTCTGCAATTTACAGCATTAACAAAATGGATACAGCTGTCAACCTTAGTCAAATGTGAGCTATATAGCTTATGATAACCAAAATAACTGTATTGGCTTTTCTTTATTATAATTTACTGAATGAGTTAAATATATTTTTTGTAAAATTAATTTCAAACTTTCCTAATTGGAGACATGAAAATTTGGCCTTTGAGTGAATTAAGTTATATACATATATCTAACTTTTTTTAACCCTTTGGTTTCCATTTTACTCTTGGCTCTGCCTCAGTTACAAAGATCTACCTTAAAGTAAATTTTGCTGTGGATGTTGTCAGGAAAGCAAAACTACATAGTCTAGTATGGTTTATGTTCTAATATCAAAGATTGTATATATATATGGTATTTTCTTTCACTAAATAACTGTTTTAGAAAAGCAGGGCATTGAAATGAGCCTGGGAATGACAGAAATTTTATTAATTTGTCATACTGAAATTTGACCTGCAGTTATGTGCTGCAATAGAATGCTACATTGAAAGAATGCTTAGCTATTAACACAATATCTTTATAATTTTTTTCTAAAGCAATACATTCCTGTGAAGTCCATTTTTTAAAAAGTCCCCTTTAAAAACAATTTAAAAGGATTATTTAAAGTTATAGTTACGGCTAAAATTTACCTTTCATCAGGTATATCTAAGTTTAAATGCAGATTATTCATATATAATTTTAGAAATAATGTTAACCGAGGTGGAATCTATTATGGTTATAAAATGATTTCTAGAAATAAGCATTTCTGTAATTAATATAGTCATGATTATTGAAATTATTTTTTATAAAACCATTTGATGCTTTTAGTTTTCCTTTGAATATTTTTATTCTGTAGCTTTTGGCATCTTATATTTTAATAGATAGTTTAATCATTTGAACCAGTAGCAACAGTATTTTCTTACTTTCAGCAAGCATATATTTTTGTCTATAGATTATTCGAAGTTTTGTCCTTGATTCTAGGAACCTCAGGTGTCTTTCCCTTCATTGTCAACATAGTCTGACTGGACATGGCTTCAACTGCTAATCTATTTTTTTTTCCTTCTCAGCATGAAACTTCATTATAGTGATTTCCTTGATTAAACTTTTTTTAAATGAAAAGTATTTCATCTAAATGAGAAACTACCCAAAATGATTTTTCCTTATAAGTTTTATGGCATGATGATATTTCTGGGATTTTATTTCAACATAGTTACTTACAATAAAACCTTGAAATTCCCATGTAACTCTTTAAAATTTTTTTTATCAGTAAGTTAATTTGGAAATTATTTATTGATTTTTTTCATTCCTCTTTTTTTTCCATTTTTACAGTTTTATCTTTCAAATGTAGCAGAGGGAAGCTCCCATATCTGTTATAGGTCTACTATTATATATTTACATATAATGCTACTTAAACATATGCAGATTAAAATGGGCAATTCAATTAAATTTTAAAAGTATTAGAATAGAATGGATTTACTTGGAAGCCTTTATTTAGCTATTTTATATTTCATACATACTGGACTAAATTACATTTACTCTTTTTCCTTCATTAATATTTAGGAAAGTGTTTTAGGCCTTATTTTTACATGGAAAAAGTAAGTTTCTTTTGTATTTGTTTCATTCCAATTTTGCTTTCTTGTAAATATCCAAGACCTTAAAATTATGTGCTTTACTGATCATTATCGGGTAGATTCTCATACTAAGGGCAAGTAGGAAACTACCAAGTACTTGTGGATAGAATGTTGCTATATAACTTACCTGTTAATATAGGTTGCAACTATAAGATAACGCATATCAGCTGCTGTACATCGTATTAAATTTTCTAGCACCACACGTGAGTATGTTAATTGGACTTTATTTTTTTATTTGCTTGTTAACTGTAACTTTTGGTGCCATGTTTTCTTTTCCCTTTGAGAAACTTTCTTCAGGCTAAAAAAATATAATGAGCTTAATAAAGATATTTTATATGAAATTTATGCAATTTGGCATAAGAGATTTCCTCACTGGAAGTTGCCTGTACCAAAGAAATCATAGAAACAACCCCCTCTCCCTATCCCCTTGAATATTATAATGTAACATTTTTCCATATAAATTTAGAAATTCAGAATCAGATAATTTTATAATGATGTTTCTGTTCGTCTACTGTAAGTTATGACCTCTGCAAGAAATTTTTATTATCATTTAGGTTTATGTTTTTTAGTGCTTAGCATTTAAATTTGTTTGATTTATGTATGTAGGATTACTTCAAACTTTCTAACTACAGCTACCATTTAAATATTACTAGTTTCACAAAATATATCCTGTAATAGGGAGATTGGTAAACTCAAACATCTTTTTTCTTTGTTCTCTGATCTTTTCATAAGACTGTTTTAAATAGTTAACCTCTGGTAATATAGAGGGGAAAAAGTTTAATACCTTTTGAGTATCCATAATTTTAATAAAGTACAACCAAATCTTGGCTGTCTTTTCTTTTCTTCAGAAGGAAACAGTCATTCTACTGGCTTTGCTCGTTTAGATTTTCTGGATAGATTTTCTAGATAGAAATAAAGTAGGATACAGCTGAGCTTATAGGATTCTGTTTACTCATGGCATCGTGGCTAGCCTTCCCTATTATAGAGTAAAACACTCAGAATGGACCGTAAGGCACATTTTGTTGCATCTGGGTCTTGTGAATTAAATGTTTGTCAGCTTTGGCTAAGCCATAAAGTATCCCAATTATAGTTGAAATAAGTAAACTTTGATTACGTAAAGCTAAACTGTATTTTCTTGACACTTGTAGATGATTGGTTCAGTGTTAAAAATATTAATGGAATACATGCATAAACTGTTTTGTAAAACAAATACTTTAGAATTATTTTTCGAAGTGATATAATGCAAGTAGAATCCCAATAAAACAAACTTTAGTGGATTGTCAAGAGTTACTGTTTTAGAATTTTGTTGATTCACACTTTGCTTAAAATAAATGGGCCATTGGTAGAGTTAGGGAGTACTCTTGTTTTAACATGATTTGAGAGACCTGTGTTGTAGTACAAAAATCTTGCCATCTGCATTCAGGTCTTTCAAAATGCTGTGTTTTTAAATTTTTTTACATAATCTATTCCAAATTTCTATCTTGTAGTTGCAAATAAAGTAGTTATTTAAAACAATAATACAAATTATGTCAACCTCATTTCTCTTCTACTTGATTTTTTTTTGGTTTATGGATTTTCCAGACATTGTAAATAGTCTATAGGAAAGTTGGAGCAAAGGAAACTAAAGCATTTACAGATCTTTTATCATTTTAAAAATGTTCCATGTGTTATGAAAACTTATAGTCTTCAGCCTTAAGAGACAATACTTTATAACTTCAGATGTATGAGATTCCAGATAGATTACTGGCTATTTTTTTAAAAATTACTAATTAATATAGATAAGGTATGCACTGTAACAGAAAGCAAAGATTTGAAATTTAAGAATTTTTCTATCCTATGTTAATACAGTTAAAATGACTGGTTGGAATTGGTTCTACCTAAATGGGCTAGATAGTTTAAAAAATTTTAGATGGCCTATATTATCTAAAAGTTTAAGATATAGCAGCTCATTTGTAAAATGATTATTTGCTTGTTAGACATTTTCTTCATTATTTTAAATTCTTAACTCTTCAGTGAAGGACCTTGATGGTTTTGAAAAAAAGAAATGTCTGTTGTATAATTTTTGCCTGTGCTCCTTTAGGGTCAGCATTTTAGTGATTAGATTAATTTTTACCTAATGTACAAGACGCTTGAAGATTTTTGCAGCAATTACTCAATTAAATTGTGTTTCCCATCAGATTTATTTTGGAGGGAGGTATTAATTCTTTTATCCAGAGACATGCAAAGGGCCATGCCTTTTACTTTATAGAGATCATTGAAGTAATTAGCTGAGTTTCCTATATTTTTTTTTATTCTTTACTTCAAAAATCTAATATTAGCATCCATTCTTTCCCATTTCTTCGTTCCCATCTCTAAGAAAGAAGTGGTCTTTCTCTTTTCTGAGGCCAGCCCTCTACCTTATGTCCTTGGTCCCTTTTACCATATCTCCAGGACCTTTACTCTTCAGTCATTTATTGCAATCTCCATTATTTCTTTGTGCTTCAGACTGCTTGATACAAGGTAAAAAGGGAAACTTGAGTTTGAATTCTGCTTAGCAGCTCTGTGTCATAGGCAAGTAATTTTTCTTGTCTGAGCCTCATT